TTTTTTTTTTTTTTCTGCCAAGGTTGCTGGTGGCAGGGGCAAGTTTGTCCTGCCGGTGCCAACCTGCCACTGCCAGGCTTTTGGGGAGGGGGGCGGCTGTAACCGAAAGCCAGCACAGGGAGGTCGGCGTTGTGATGTAGCGCATCCCCATCCCACGTGGTCTGTGTACTCGTTGGAAATAAAATTTTGGATTTGTTTCAAGCTTTTGGAGACTATGCTCTGTGCGCGCCGGCCTCTGGGGCAGGGGGGTTCCCATCCTGGTTGTGGCTGGATCCCGTTCCCAGTGGGTTTAGGGGGGCTCCCTGCGGGGGTGTGGGGTTAGGCAGGAGCTTTGGTGCTCATCGGTGAGGGAAGGTGAAGCTTCTTAGGGAGTTCAGCCCCTGCTGAGCTGCAGCTTTCTGTTCCTGCAGAACGAGCCAGTGCAGGGGGGATCGGGCTTATTCAGGGTGGGACACTGCTCCTTGTTCAAAATCACCATCGCTCAGAAATTGAAAGATGCCTAAAAGCTCTTTGTTGTCTATTCCTTCCCCTCCCGCCCCTGCTTCTCCCCTCCCTGGCAGTGAGTACAGGCTCTTCCCAGTGCCACCTCCAGCACGCCCAGCACAGGATCCAGCTCGCTGTGGTCCAGCCCATAGCCCAGAGCAGGAATGGCCTCATTTGAGGCTGTTTTGGGGAGACTCTGAGGGTCTGAGCCCCGTCCTTGCTCCAGTGGGAGGCCAGGAAGGGGTGATGGAGAGCAGGACAGCAGCTCAACCCCACGCCCAGTTTGCACCAGGGCTGCAGCAAAGCAAAACATCCCCTGTGCTCCCCCTTGCACCCACCTCCCTTCCTCGGAGCTTTGCAGAAGGATGCTCTGCTCCTACCAAATTTAGCACATCCTGAATTTTCACTCTGGTTTCATAGGGCCCTCACAGGCGAATGATTTCCCAGCTAAGCAGCCGGCTGCAGTTTGAGTCTGTTTAGCCTCAGGTCATCTCTGGGGCCAGGAGCAAGGTGGCAGTGTGGGTTTTGCAATGAAACCCATCACCACGGAGCCCAGTGCCGATGCTGTGTAGGTATTTTAGTTTTCTACACAGTTTAAGAGCATCTCAGCAAGAGGGTAATGTTGCCCACCCCTGGGAAGATGGCAGAAGCGTGCCCTGAGTTTTCTGCACCAGCAGGCTCAACTCTCAGGTCCCCATCCCTTGCTGTGTCCGTCGGGCCAGCTTAAAAAAATAAAAATAAAAATCGGTGTCTCTGCGAAGGAGCAAGCCAACTGTCGCTCCTCTGATGCCTCTCGCCTGCTCGGTGTGCCAAGCCAGGCGACGCTCAGCTGTTGCCATACCTCGCTGGCAGTCCTCCATTTCCAAGGTTTGCTCTGTGTCATCCTCACATCCCCAGGCTTCAGCTCTGGAGCAGCATCGGCACTGCCGAGCCGGCAGCATCTGCCGAGCCGGAGGAGGTGTGGAGCTCCTGGGGAAAGCGGAGGCGAGATGTTGCTCCCTGCAAGCCACGCTGCTGCCCGCCCCGATGCCAGCGCGAGGCCCAGTACGGCTTGCTAATGACAAGAAACCCATCTGCAGTAATTGCATTCATTAGATGCAAGCCCGTTAGGTTTGCAGGATGCGGTGGGAAGAAGAGAGAAGCACAATCCCTGGTTGCAACTCCCGGGGATGGCTTTGCCCTGGGGGACTTGCAGCATGTTGCTGCAGGAGGGGTTGGGCCCCCCAGGGAAGGGGAAGATCCCCAAACCCAGGGTGAAACAGGATGGGTTAGGCAGGGCAAGGGCTGTCCTGAGACTGATGAAGGTGGAGGAAGAGTGCAGAGCCTCATCCTGCTGCTGGCATGGGACTGTGCTGGCCACCAGATGCGTATTTTCCTCCAACACCTACACAGAGGTTTCACCATCTCCATCTGGGGCGAACAACGTGTGCCACTCGCATGGCTGAGGGCACGTCCCCTCAGGTGGCCACACACCCCAGGGATGGTCCCAAGCTCCTTTTAACCACACCAGAGATTTTATGCCTTTACTGCTCACTTGCATGTCACTGCTCGCACATGTGTTGGTGACATGCTGAAGTACTGGTGGGCTCTGGCTGCAAAAGCCGGAGAAGGCAGAGCTGGCTCTCTGCCCGCTGCAGGCAGGGCGGGGAGCCCCTGCCCTTGCTTAAACCACTCCAGGAACGAGCCAGAGGAAATTTGGTGAATGGGAAATGAATGGTCCTAAAGGGAAAGAGAGGCAGAACTGTCCCGCCGGCTTCCCCCAGGGCTTGGGGCGGCTGCGTGGGGGGTTTGGCTTAGCCCCGTGCCACCCTGCCGTGGCAGTGCCGCAGTCGGTGGCTGCGCCGGCTGCCAGCTGGAGCGCTGGGAAGGGCTGGCGCAGAGAGAAATGTCAGGATGAATATTGCATCGGCTCGTCGCGCTGTCAGCGCTATGTCTGCAAAGTGCCACCCGAGCTGGGGAGGGAGGGAATCTCACTCCCAACCCAGGCTCATCGCCTGCTCCAGGCGAAACCACCCAAAAAAACCTTAAACGGGCATCCTTCACCTGCCGGCTGACGCTTAGTGCAGAGCCCACTTGCAAGATGCCACCAGACCAGAAACTTTTCCTGGCCATAAAACACATAACCCACCTGGAGGTGACTGAAGTAACACTGGGACCAAAACCCGATGAACAGCAGCAGGAGTGTTCACGTGGAAAACGGTTTAATTATGAGCTGGACGTGGCATGGAAAGGAGAGAGGGTTCAGGCTCAGCAGGCAGCTGCTTCCCCTGCCCGTCCCTGCCCAGAAACCCCCTTTGCTGCTTCCCAGGAGGGCGATGGAGCCAGCTCAAGTCTTGGGCATATCTGTGTGAAATCGGGATAATTCATGTGTGGTTTGAAGACTAAAAAAGGCTGGGTTTCTAAACTCTGGAAAGCAAACGCAACGTGGGCACTGAGAAGGGAAAACCACTGCCCCTGCTCGGGTGGGTTGGTTTTTACCCCTCTGGAAAGGTCAGTTCTGCTCTTGCCTAATTTTGTGAGGGACTTCTTGGCATCTGCACTGCCACACTGCAGTGGCATTGGTGCGGCGTTAGAGAGTAAATAGAAGTGGAATCACAACCCCCCCGAAGCCGACAGCAAATCCATGCCCCCACCATTGCTGCCCAGCCCACGACCCCTCATCCCCCACAGCCCTGAGAAACGCCCTCGGGACCGCCAGGCCCCACGGAGCCGTTCGTGGGGGACACGGTGGGCCGGGGACTGGCCCCAAGAGTGTGCCCAGGAGCTGGGGGTGCCCGTCCCAGTGTGGGGGGGACCGGGCTTGGCCCCCCAAAGCCCTTCTGCCCCTCAGGTGGTGCTGGGGAGGCTGTGGGGCAGATATGGGGTGTGAGAAGGGCCCCCCCGGCCCCACGTGCAGCTCTGGGCAGTGCTGTGGGGTTGCCCCAGTGCTCCCCAGTACAGCCCAGTGCAGCCCAGTACAACCGGGCGCTCCCCAGTACAGCCCAATACTCCCCAGCACAGCCCAGCGCTCCCCAGTACAGCCCAGCGCTCCCCACATCACCCCACTGCGGCCTACACACAGGCCTAAGCCCCGCCCCCTGCCCTAGGCCCCGCCCC